TAATATTTGGTGGCTCTTAAAAGAGCCGTTTTTGTTTTCTTGACGCGTCGGTTTACGCGCGTTCTCCGCGAATTCGGCGGGCGAGCTGAATGTCTTTCGGCATGATGGTGACACGCTTGGCGTGGATGGCGCACAAGTTGGTGTCTTCAAAAAGACCAACAAGGTACGCTTCGCTAGCCTCCTGAAGGGCCATCACTGCTGAACTCTGAAAGCGAAGGTCCGTCTTGAAATCTTGAGCAATCTCGCGCACAAGACGCTGGAAAGGCAACTTGCGAATCAGCAGCTCTGTGGACTTCTGGTACCGACGAATTTCACGAAGAGCGACAGTTCCGGGCCTGTAACGATGCGGTTTTTTCACGCCACCGGTTGCTGGGGCACTCTTCCTTGCAGCCTTGGTTGCAAGCTGTTTGCGAGGTGCTTTACCTCCAGTAGATTTACGCGCTGTTTGCTTGGTACGAGCCATCGATAACAAACCTTAAGTCTACACCTTAGGAAAAGAGATGGAAAATGATGAAAGTAATGCTACCGGCGATTTATAAGTTCGCGCCTACATTCATGATTGGTTTATTTTTCTCAAAGGTGATTGGTCAGAATACTACTTGCTATCTCGTGACTGGTTCCAAAGAACACCTTTTCATTGGTCAGCTTACGCAATTTTCGATCCTATTTACATTAGAAGCTTGGCCAACATCGAGAACCACTTGGCAAAGTCCATCTTCCAACTGGAAGTGTGTGCCATAAATTACTCGCAAAGCGTCATTTACAACTACCTGAAATTGATATAATCTTTTCAGGGGAGAATATCTTCAGTTGCCAAGATGAATCGTTCTCTTTATCCCGCTTCGTGTCCTCCTATTGTACACGTACCCACTTGCATAGTCATGGTGGGTTTACCGGCTCGAGGCAAAACGTATGTCTCTAGAAAGCTTGCTCGCTACCTCAACTGGATCGGTGTGAACACGAAGGTATTTAACCTTGGTGAATATCGTCGTGAGATGGCCGGCGCTCATTGCAAGCACTCGTTCTTCGATCCGACCAATGCTGATGGTATGAACGTTCGCGAAAAGTGCGCAGAACTAGCTCTTGAAGACATAACGAAATGGTTGAACGATAAGGGGCAGGTAGCCATCTTTGACGCTACAAACACCACTCGAGCAAGAAGAACGAAAGTCACCGATCATCTCGCCACCCATGGTTTCAAGGGTTTTTTCGTCGAGTCAGTTTGCGACGACAAAGAGATCATACGTTCCAATATTCTAGAGGTGAAAGTCAACTCGCCTGACTATCAGGGGGTCCCCTCAGAAGAAGCTTGTCAAGATTTCGAAGCCCGGATAAACCATTATAATGATTATTATGAACCAATTTCTTTGGATCATGATCTTAACATGCCATTTCTTAAAGTGATTGATGGTGGTAAGAGGTTTCTGATGAATAAAGTGGAAGGCTACTTGCAAAGTAGAATAGTGTATTACATAATGAATCTTCACATCACCCCTAGAGCCATCTACTTGTCAAGACACGGTGAAAGCATGATGAATTTGCAAGGTAGGATCGGTGGGGATTCTGATCTCACTGAAAGGGGCTGGGAGTACAGTAAAGTCCTGGGGAAGTTCGTCAAAGAGAGCATGCCAGCCGACCTCAAAGTTTGGACAAGTGAATTGAAAAGAACCAATCAGACGGCTAGTTTTATAGACAGACCAATTGAAATATGGAAGGCTGTCAATGAAATTGACGCTGGAGTATGTGAGGGAATGACATACGAAGAAATTCAAGAGCAGTTTCCAGAGGACTTTGCTAGACGAGATGAGGATAAATTTCATTACCGGTATGTCCGCGGGGAGTCTTACGAAGATCTTGTTGCCCGCTTAGAGCCAGTTATCATGGAACTTGAAAGGCAGCATAATGTCCTCGTCATTTGTCACCAAGCAGTGGCGCGGTGCCTCTTAGCCTACTTCCTTGACCACAACTCTGAAGAGCTGCCCTATTTGCGAGTGCCTCTACACACCGTCATAAAGCTCACCCCAGTCGCGTATGGCTGCCGTGTGGAGAAGTTCGATTTGAAGATCCCTGCTGTAAACACACACAGGGAAAAGCCCAAGGTTGTTTCAGTCAACCGTACTGAAGAAGATGCATTAGAAACTGTTCCAGATCATGAGTGATCATTTGGAGAACAATATTTTCATTCTCAGACAGGGTATGGTTTATCTAATAAACTAGAGGGCAAAGTTTATGATTTTTGTCATGTGCTGATCAATTTATTGGATACTTCAACATCCAAAACCCAACATTTGAACTTCTGAAGTTTTAGTTCAAATTCTCATCCTCTATATTAAAAATAGTGTTTAAATGTCCCACCTCCTGTTACACCCAAACTAGTCAAATGTCCAAAAAGGATATTGCATTTGATCAATACTTAAGAGAGCATTTTTACTTTTGGTGCATATTCTGGGTTTTTTCATTAATTTCAATTTGGATGTAACAATTGTTGGGATGCAGGGTTAACTACCGGTAGTCTGCTTTGAATGTATAAAATAATAATGGAATATACAGTACATAATTATATACAAATCTTTGTGGAGAAATATATATTTAATTTCAATTGCATCCATGAATTAAACCAAAATATTAGAAACAATTGTAATGCTTCTTTCTACAAACATTTTGATTCTGAGTTTTGTGGTATTTTTTCTTTTCCATTTAGTGGATCACAGGTTTTCCTTCAACTAAAGTAACATTTCAGTAGTCGCAACATAATACTTTACCAAACGTATTTAAAATTCCTTACATGTAAAATTTTGACATGGACCAGTTTCATACATTGAGGACTTATATAGCCATAAATGTTTAATGGCTTGACTATGTCTTGCCCCTAAATACAAGGTTCCAGTGGCTCAACCCCACCCTTACCCCCTCCCACAGTGTGTCCAGTGGAACTGGATGGGGAGGGGATGGTAATTTTTTGATTTAATTGGTGCATTACAGTCAAAAACACTCATTAATAATCAACAGCTTTATGTTTCATAAAATGTTTGAATTTTTTTACTCATGAAAAATTATAATACATCTGGTCATGCCTTGGTGAAATTGTTTCTTTATTTTGTCTGAAATCTTGAATTAACAGCATTTTTTGTCTTGCATATAGCATATTTAAAAACATGGTGATGGTGTTTTATTGTTACTGTAGTCAATATTTAATTAAGAATTACGAAAAAATTATTTATTCAGTTTCCTTTAAAGAGATCTCTGAAGGAATAATTATTTTTGAAACATTTTTTAATGACTTGAAAACTTGATGCATGTATTGCAACTATTTTTTTTTCAGATTATTTAATTCCATGTACTTTCTTGTTTCTTATATTAGTGACTATATTATTGTACTTAAGGCCCTTGGTCTTTTGCAGAACATATTATTTTTGATATGGGATAAAATCAGTGGTTTCATTAGTTTAGGTTTTTGATTAATTTACTTAAGGTGGCCGAACACAGTTTTCAAGAGCCTATGCTTAATTCACCATTACTTTTAAGCTGTTTAGGCTTTGGCGCTCATTTTTTGCAAGAGTCAAGGTTAACCACAGAGAAGTTTATTCTCGCATTTTGGTTAAGGTGTGTGCTGTTGCCATGGCAACAGGGCTGGTTAAAAACAAGGCTTTAAAAATGGTTTTTGTTTATGTAAAAAAATCCAGTCGTTAGATTTTTTTCATCTTTTGCCCACTACGAATTGAGATTAAATCCCTTCTGTCAACACTGTTCTAATAAAATTTTGACATAGGCGATTTTCGTAATTCACCGTAAATCGTTTTCACCGCATGTTCTGTATTATTAAAAATTCCCTATGTCAAAATTCAGATTTTTTGCGATAGATCATTCACGTGGTTTCTG